ATGCAGAAACAGAAACAGAAACATATGCACAAAACAGCTTTAAAAGCCCCAAAGAACAGCTTTAAAAGCATAAAACTCCAGAACACCAGCATCACACTATGGAAACTTAAACATATACAAAGGATTTTTGTGTTACTTAAAAATGGTGGTTCAAAACTAGATAAAATGACTTTTTACAGTAAGTCTTATTTAACACATTTCCTGCCTTGTCAGACTGATGAGAGCTGGAACATTGGGTCTACTTTATAAGTCGTTTTGGATAAAAGCGTCTAAATGCGGAAACAAAAACAGAAACATATGCAAAAAAAATCTTTTAAAGCCCTAAAAAACAGCTTTAAAAGCATCAAACTCCAACATCACACTATGGAAACATAAACATATACAAAGGATTTTTGTGTTACTTCAAAATGATGGTTCAAAACTAGAAAAAACTACTTTGTAAGTGTTATTTAACACATTTCCTGCATCGTCAGACAAAATCTCACTGGTACTGACACTCAGCATCTGTGTGTGTGTGTGTGTGTGTGTGTGTGTGTGTGTGTGTGTGTGTGGTTTCCAGGCGTGTCCTTCCCCGTGCACCAGTACATGTTCCCGGTCCTGTTCCTGCTGGGCTGGTTCCTGTGGTCCTTCATCGAGTACTGCATCCACCGCTTCGTGTTCCACATGAAGCCGCCGGCCCACAACTACTACCTCATCACGCTGCACTTCCTGCTGCACGGCCAGCACCACAAGGTGCACACCCCCCCGCTCAACGCACAAATCTGGGGCTAATATTACTAATAATCATCAGCCAAAGCAGGGGGGGCAAACTCAGAAAACACAGCAGGCCAAAATGTAAAACCTGAACAAAGCCAATCGGGCCAAGATTGAAAAAATGAGCCTTTTTAAAGTGGAAGGAAACAAACTTTGCTTTAACCCTGTAATGCAAAAGGTAGCATATTTGATACATACTGTTTCTGAAATGTTTTGCGTCTGACACCTTTTGCATAATTTAATGCTAAAAACTTTGCTCAAAATCCTATTTTACACATTCAGATATACCTGATAACAGGGGGCAGAAGACTACACAAAAAATAATTTTGACTTATTGCATAGTGATAAATTATTAATATCAAAAATGTATTTCTGTTTTTTCTTTTTACATATTTTGTTAAAAGGGCAAATAAGGAATTTAATACAAAAAAAAAGTAATTTTCTGTTTTGTTTTATTCTTGGGAGGGCTCTTTCTTTTCGTAATTTTTCGAAGTCATTTGGTATTGTCTCGCGGGCCAAATATAATTACAACGCGGGCCAGAGTTGCCAAATGTGTCATATCTGATCCGGTTTCTGAAGTCTTTTGGATCTGAGCCTTTTTGCATCATTCAGTGGTAAAAGCTTTGCTCAAACCCCTGTTGTACACATTCAGATATACCTGATAACAGCCAGTAGAAGACTACACCAAAATATATTTTTTACTTATTGCACCCTAATTTGATCAAAATAATTTCAGTTTATTTTCCTTTATATGTTGTTGAGGGGCCAAAGAAAGACTTCAGACTAAAAAAATCCAATATTCTTCCTATTTTTCTTGGATCAGGCTTTAAAGGGTTAACATTGAATATGGAACAAGCAACTCTTATTACATTATATATAACTTAATAGTGGAGAGATGCTAAATTATTATTTCAAATAAAAAAAAAACATCAATGGCATTCATTTATGAAATAAAATTTTAAAACATTTTTCTATTCGCAGCCTTCTGAATTAAATATCAAAATGAAATTTGCTGGTCCAGAAAGCTCCTGTTTTCTGCCTTTCTTTTCGTAATTTTTCGTAGTCATTTGGTATTGACACCCTTGAACCAAAGCTTCTGAGTTCGGCAGAAACTTTGTCTCCGATTGCCTTAAACCAGTTAGATGGTCAGCGTGTTTGAGCCATAGAAGTATAGAGTAAACAAATGTCATAAAAACAACTAATAAATCAAATAAATTTTTTATGTTGAGGGACCAAAGACAGACTTCACACTAAAAAAATCCAATATTCTTCCTATTTTTCTTGGATCAGGCTTTAAAGGGTTGATAAAAAAAAACTGAAATTCACATATGGATGTTCCTCTGTGTCCCTGTGTTTGCGGGCAGTCTCCGTTCGACGGCTCCCGGCTGGTTTTCCCGCCCGGCCTGGCCTCCATCGTGGTGGTGGCGTTCTACCTGGTCCTGCAGAAGACGCTGCCGGAGGTTTTGGGCACGTCGGTGTTCGTGGGGGGGCTCTGCGGCTACGTGGTCTACGACATGATCCACTACTACCTGCACTACGGCTCCCCCAAGAGGGGCTCCTACCTGTACAGCCTGAAGGCCTACCACGTCAAGCACCACTTCGAGCACCAGAGATCAGGTCAGACGCCCCACAAACAACACAGAGAGCCCCCAAACGGCCAGAAAAGGGTAAAAAGAACCAGAATAAAAGCAGGAAAACGACAAAAAGAGACACTGATCCGCTGGTTTCCTCTAATGAGGATCAAATTTAAGGTTCAGAAAATAAAATAAATAAACAAATAAATAAAAATAAAATATAAAATATAAATAAATAAATAAAATAAAACATTTTAAAAATGAAAAAAAATAAATAAAAAAAATAAGTAAATAAATAAATAAAATAAATAAAATAAATAAAATAAATAAAATAAATAAAATAAATAAAAAATAAAATAAAATTAAATTAAATAAAAAATAAAAAATAAAAAAAAGGTTCAGACGTCGTCACTGAATCATTTAGAGGCTGAAAAAGTCAATTAAATATGCTCTGTATATATGTGCTGGCAAACTTTTTTCTTCTCAGGTCTGTTGAGAAGCAAAAAGCAGCATTTTTTATTATAGTTCCTCCTTTGTTTTACTCGTGTCCAACACTTTTATGTATATTTGACACTTATTTTGGTTCCTGTGTTAGAATAGAGCTCATTTGCTTAAAACGATTCCTCATTTTTGAGGGAAACGGCTGAAATTGTAGCTTGTTTTTTCACTCCGGTTGTGACGGAAAACCACCGACTGCTACGTGTCAGAGTTTATCAGGATGCTGATCTGAAAGCATTTCAGGCCAGAAAACTGAACTCAAGCTGAGAAAAACAGTGAGTTGAAACCACATAACGACGGTTTGACACCAGCTGCCGTCCCTTTAAGACACAAAGGGCCGCTGTGGGTCTGGTCATGTGACTGCCCGAAGCTGTCTGATTGGTGGAGGAAAATTAAAGTGGAGTTTCTTTTTAATAATAATGATAATAATAAACTTTATTTTATAGAGCGCCTTTATAAGCAGCGAATTAAACAAATACTACTAATTAATACTTACTAAAAACAAAAACCACAACATTAAAGGGACACTGTCTAGTATTTTGAGTATTTTATTAGCTAAAATCATGTTCTTCATTTCTAAATGTGTCCTCATTTGGTGTAAAATGACCTCTGCAATGATCTTACTTCTCTTCTTAAGCAAAGAATTTCTTCCCCGGAAGTTTCCATGGTGATCTGCCATATTGAAAAACTATAATGGCAGAGAGGGACATAAAGCACTAATTTGCCTATCTAGCTAATCCACTAGCTGCGACGTAGGCTAGCACTGCTAAGCTACAAACAAAAAAACTAGCTAACATGAAAACTTAATTCTCCATCTTGTTGGAGGGGGAAATACATGCTCACATTAATGATTCAATGCAGTTTGTCATTTCTTTTAAATCACAAAACTCATCACCAGAGAAAAAAAAATGATGTGGAAGTCATGTTGTCCTTACTTGTTGATGCCTGACGGTTAGCATAGCTGAAAATGTGAAAACGGAGGCACAGACTTGTTAGGATGCAGAACACAGTTTCACCGTTAGATGGAGGCATTCCTACACCGGTTAGCTTTAAAAAAAATATATAAAACATAAAGCACTAGCCTACCTGTCCACAGCTAATCCACAACCCGTTTTCCTTCAGAGTCATGTGACTAAAACCATCTCTAATAAGTGAGCGTAAATCGAAAAGTAAACAGGTATAGAACATATCGCTACTAATCAGTCTGTGATTCACACTGTAACATTCGTTTGTTTGTTGTGTCGAGTTGTTGGCTAACGCTAGCTACGACGTATGCTAGTAACACTAAGCTACAAACAAAAAAACAAGCTAACATGGAAGTGTAATCCTCCATCTTGTTGGAGGAGGAAATACATGCTCACACTAATAATTCAATGCAGTTTGTCATTAAAAACCTCATCACCAGAGAAAACTCCATGATGTGGTAGTTATATTGTCATTACTTCTTGATGCCTGACGGCTAGCGTAGCTGAAAATGTGAAAACGGACAGCAGATTTGTTAGGATGGAGAACACAGTTTCACCTTTAGATGGAGGAATTCCTTAACCGGTTAGCTTTAAAAACAGGATATAAAACATAATAAAAAAACTCAGAAATTAAAAGCAAGTTGTTTCTCCACAGGCTTTGGGATCACCAGTACGTTTTGGGACCACCCCTTCAACACCGTCATCCCGGATGAGAAGTTCTAGCCCCGAAACGGCTCACCAGAGGCCCCCCCCCCAGCCCCCGCCTCCTCCCCCCCCCCTTTTCCCACCCTTTGGCTTCAGGACCAGTTCAGAAAAACCCGCTTTGAGTGAGACGCCGTGGGAGAGAGAAAAGGAGCCTGGAGATGGGGGAGTGGAGGAGGCAAAGTATGTGTGAGCATCAAAAAGACCCCCCAAGAAAAAGAAAAAAACAGCTCAGGAAAAAACTCTCCTCCTCCGTCAGACTTTTTTTACAGCTTGTTCTTTCCCAGGTAAAACGTCGGTTTCTGAAGGAGATCCACTCTAAGTTATTGATTCCTGGCTCCAGGTTCTGTGCCCAATCAGAGAAAAGGACATATATATTCTCCCACCCCCCCCCATCCCGTTTTGCTTCTACATAGATGTAAAAAAAAAACAACAAACAGCTATATATTTTTAAGATTTTGTACAGAAAAGGAGACGCATTGATCGTCGGAGGAGAAAGATGGACGCTGTACTGGAGGGGGGGGGTCGAGGTGAACGAGGGGCCGAGGGCGTGAAACCGGGGGGTCCCGCCTCCTGCTGTGGAGCTCCCGGGGTCAAAGGTCACGGGAGAATTTCTGTCTAAATAGAGGGCAAAAAAAAAAGATATGGACGCAGTAGTTTGCTTGCTTGAATCTGGGATTATTGGGCTTCATATTTGGGTCCAGATGCCTGATTTTTTTGGGGTAAACGTTGCTTCCGTCCACATCTTTTGGCTCCTGGTGGCTCCTTTGACCCCGTGGATCTCCGTAGAGGATGACGACCGGCGTTTCTGACTCGACGGCAGGAGGTGGTGAGGCCTAACGGCGGATCCTCGGCGCGTACGCCTCGTAACCCCCGACAACAGACGACCAGACAAACTGAGGCAGAACAAACCAGACGTCAGCTCTTTGCCCACTGACACGGGCACAGAGAGAAAATTTTAAAAAAGCTTTAAAAAGAAAACTATTCTTGCTTTTAACGCGCGTGGATATCTGTTTATTTTAACCCAAAAATCAGCAGCTTTTGCTGCTTTTCTTCAGAAACGAAAGAGGATGAGTGACCGAAACGGTTTCCAGGGATGAGCCAAAAATGTTAGCCAAATTAAAGCCACCAAACTGTTTTACGGAGCCCCCCAGGTCACCATGCAGTGGCTTTTATTTTGCGTCCTTACGCATAAAGTTTTGCGTCCTTACGCATAAAGTTTTGCGTCATTACGCATAAAGTTTTCTGTCTCTACGCATAAAGTTTTGCGTCCTTACGCATAAAGTTTTCCATCTTTACGCATAAAGTTTTGCGTCCTTTACACATAAAGTTTTCCGTCTTTACGCATAAAGTTTTCCGTCCTTACGCATAAAGTTTTACGTCCTTACGCAAAGAGTTTTGAGCTCTTACGTATAAAGTTTTGAGCTCTTCTGCATGCCCATAATCGTGCATTATTTTACATCAGACACACAATGGATCTCCCACAGCCTTTAGACAAGATTATAAGGTTTAATTTTTTAGATCGGTCTGCAATTTAAAGCTATTATTGTGTGAAAACGCAAAGTTTATTACGTCAGAAGGCAAAAGTCAGCTGGGGGGCTCCATACTGATCCCAGGGAGGACAGAAAATAAGTCTATTTCATGTGAAAGATTATTATTATTATTATTTTTAAAAAAGAATAAATGATTTTAGATGTTTTATGCCTGTATTAATTTGTTTTTTTTTTTTCAGGTGACCAAACTAATGAGAACTTTGAATGTAATTAAATGGTGTGAAAGTGAGGGAGATGTTTCCACCTCTCAGATCTTATTTATGTGTATTTATGTGACAAATATAGAGTATAAATAAAGAAGCAGCTGGTAAGCTTTGATTCTCAGACTTGACATTGCGCTCGTGCTGATGCAGCAGAGATCATATTTTCCCCCAATCTGTTTACTTTAATGTCTTATAACTTTGGTTATGGAATTTGAAATTTCTATGCAAATGCAAACCTGTTTGTAAATAAATATCTGTATATTTCGGACCCTGGCTTTGTTTGTGTGTTTGTTTTCCATGCAATAGAAATGCCACACCAGCAGATATCTATAAAAAAAAATACAATTAGTAATCATTTGTCTCAAAGTGTGGATCCAGTTTACCATTAATCTGTAAAAAAACCCCATCAAAATGCAAACATCTGAACGGTTATTTCAATATTAACGGAAGGATTTTCCTCAGGTAAGTTTCATTTTTACATATAAACAAACAAAAACAGTTTTCAACTTCACTGTCATGAAACGCCAGAATAAAGAACCAATAATAAAGTTTAGACTCAATGTGATTAACTGGAAATCCATCATATTAAGTCTTCCTGCTTCCATCTTCTAGTTTATGCATTATCAACATTTAATTTATTAGTTAAATTATGTTCAGTTTGACTAAATAGAAAGAAAAATAATATATAAGTTAAATTTTTTCTGGTCACGGTGGTTTCCGGGGCTCAAGCTGTTACAGATTAAAGGGAAAACGGTTTTACAGGTATGAAAATTATACGTTTTCAGATATTTTCCTCATTCATTAGTTCCTTACGGGGTTATTACAGCTTCAGAGACTCAGCAGGACCTGTGCATCTTCTCCTCTGACCACATTTAGCTCAATTTCCTTATTTCTGCTCTAAACTCTCCGTCTCTTAAGAAGATTTGACTGTATCTGTGCTTAGGTGTACTGAGGTGTTTTTTTTTAATCACCTGTAGGGGGCGTGGCACTGGGTCTTTTTTCTTCCGGCAACCACTTTCCTGATGTATCTTTGTTCTGAAGGAAAAATGATGCGCTCTAGAGTGGCTGCCCTGGTCTACCCGAACTGGGGTGTGTTTTATTTGTATGATCTTGGTTCGGGCTGTACAGGAAATGAATTTCTCCGTGTGAGATCAATAAAGTATTAGTCAATCAATCAATGAAGAAGCCAAATGGAAGCCAAACAGAGCAGCTCTGGCTGCCTGAGCTTGTTAGAAACGGGCTATAATTACTCACTTTAGTATAGTATATATAGT